CGCTTATAGAGACTGCATATTACAGTTGATTATAGTTCCTGGGCTCCCTGTGGTTAATCCGTGGGAGGAGCAGTAGTTCGGCTCCGATAGAATGCTGCCGTGTGAACATAGCTAAAACGAGTCACTGTATATACATAAAAGTTAAGTTTGCCACACCGTCCGCAAGTATCAACTAGTAATTGTTGACCATACGCTCCTGTACTGAATACTACAATATCGTCAGCGTAAAATAAATGATTAATTCTCTGACTCCCTATTAAACAACCAAATGGAAGGGAGGATAGTTCATTACCGAGGTTATCAAGATAAACTGTAAAAAAATATAGGTGAAGAGATCCCACCCTGTTTAACACCGTTTATCGAATGAAAGACATCAGAAAAAACAATTATTCCATCTAAAAACAAATGTTTGGTGCTTGTACCAAAAAATAATACTATTTTTAATTTTTAGATTATTTTCTGGCTGACACGTACCCCGCGTACCCCTGAATTGTGTTAAATAAATTCCACAGTCGCCATTATATTTGATGAGATAAAACACCTATTTTGTCATCAGATTAATTGGCTTTGGGACTGATGCCATGTCAGCCGTATACATTGGAATTATATGTACACACGACCGTTTGTGCTTTTTTGAGTTTAATTATTTATTTTTCTTATACATTTTCTTTTATTTTAATTTATTATTTATTTGCTGGCAGTTTTTAAGACCTTTTTAAAAGTTTTGGTAATCACGAACACCCACAATCTCGTTACATAGGTATGTATGTGCCGATAGTTTCAACAAGATACCGATTCACAAGTACGTAACAAACAAATATTAAAAAATAATAATAAAAAAAAAATAGTAAATGTAAAATAAATATATAAAATACAATACCGTACAATACATCGAATTTTAATCAGATTGAAAGTGTAAAAATAAAAGAAAGCTGGTATGATCGATTAATATAATATATAGAATAAGGTAATCGTAGTCACTGGTAATAATTAAATATAACCACACGACTTATACAGCGTTATAGGTGACACTGTTCATATCTTTTAAATACCTTTGCTATTCTATACTGGTATGAACTACTAACAAATCGACTAAAAGGTTGTGAATCCCCGCTGAATGAGGTTTTTGGTTATTGTCAAAGCCAACTTGAAGGCTGACGGGTATCACGGGTATCGCAAGAGATAAGACAGCCTTGAATACATTCATGCATAATATCTTAGTTTGGGTGTGTGTTTTTTTAGTATTATTTTATTATTTATATTTGCTGGTAGATTTTTCAAGTTTTGGTAATTGCGAGAGCCCACTTTTGGGAGGTGTGTTGCGGGGCTATTACTGAGTGGCACTTAGAGTAAACGACTACCTTTGTGCGCTCAAAAGCTTAACAATAACGGAATAGACTGTGTGGTGCGCCACTGCCTAGATAAGCAGAAATATGTTAAAAAGAATATATGTGTCTTACAGATTGTAGGGTTCCCTCATATTTCAGATACGCATCTCTGTGACGTATCATGTATGTATAGCGTTTACATAAGGTCAATCACCTTGGGTTTATGTTTATTCATATGCAAACGAGTTGCCCTGGAAACTAGGAAACGCTATATAGCTTAAGTCAGGACGTGGACTGATCGAAGACCTGTCATATCGACTCGATAATCGTTATTTTTTAGTGGATGGTCACATGATATTGGATTATTGGCAGACATGTCTCGATCTCAGATTACAGGAGTTGGTAAGCTTCGAATGACTGTTTGTCAAGTATACGAGTTGTGTTATTGTGCTGGCTCTAATAGCGATCGTACCTTTATATGTACACACGTCCTTTACTGAGGATTGGATATATTAGAGTAATGATTTAACCTCGAAAATTGGGTTATGAAATGCAAGTTTTGAACTGTGAAGTCACAAAATACTGCTAAAATAACATTAGCTTCCGTTATGCTTGAGCATATGTTTTCACTGACCCGTATGACCTCGTATCTCTAACCTATATGTGACGCTATAGCCCTATATGCACAATAATGAATCTGTCGATCTAAACCAAATAAAATTTTATTCTATAAAAAAAAATGATTTTATTCATGATAGAATTTAGTGTGGCTATTTTAACTTGTACCAGGATCACAGCAAGTGGTTTATTTTTGCTACATGAATGTCGCTTTGTTTGGCTCACTGGACGCCATGATTTAGAGGGTCTACAGATATGAAACATTTACGAACAATCCTGAGTTGTCAGTCTATCATGATTGTGTGCAGTGTCTACTGTAATGTACTTGACACCGTCATGTAAATTCAATCGATATCGATTGATTGATCGATCGATAGAATAATGATAACATGCATTTTTCTGTAGTGAAGTTTGGGATCAGGTCACAGTAAAATAATTCACTCATAATATGTAAAGAAAGTACTAAATAATATTAATTTGATTATACCATTCCTGGTCATGTTACCCGCCCGGGGAGGGGGGAATACATAGAACTTGCCTAACGGGGACGTGCCCCCGAAATGGGTCTCATTTTTTGGATTTAGGTATAAGTATCGGTAATAATAAATCAATATACAATGCAACTGTTAGCTTACATGTGCTTCTGTTGGAGATTCTCCAATATGGTAACTGTTTGAAATAAACAGTGATGACAGAAATGGTACTTTGGTATAAATATCGGTATAGATTTTGCCACTATCTAGGTATAAAAACGGCCTCACTTTTGAGCATTCAGAGACACCTCCCTACCCAGGTATGTGTATCAACTTCCCCCGGGGTTGCCCATTGTCCAGGCTGTGTCACGGTGTTCAGTTTCGTAACTCCACATTTTATTCCATTATTTTCTTTATTTTGCTCCGTAATATTGTGCCTCTTTTTAATTTGTAATCAGCAGT